ACAGGGTTCACTGCTCCATGCCGCTAGCGCTAGGGTTAGTATATATCGTATAAGTTGCGTGGTTGGTAGGGGATCGTTGCAGAGGTTGAGTCCAGCTTTCTCTATTGCTTTCGGGAATGGCTTTCTTTAGCAGTGAATTTTGGCAAAATACAGGTTATTTAAAATATGTTTTAAAACAGAATTTATATTTTTAACAATCAAACATTGAAAAGGTGTGCACACTGAACTTTCTACTTTACATTTATACCTATAAAAAATTACTTGCACCAATATCTTTCTCTTTTGCTGCTTAACAAAGCTTGGTGGTACTTGAAGTTTTGAAATTTTCCACAAAACTTTATGTGGTTCTTGAATTAAAAGTAGGCAAAACTGGCGAATAAAATTTTGCAACACTGTTCTAAAAGTGCATACTATTCAGCGTAATGTACAACACTTACAATTTTTAATTCCGGGGATGAGCAATAAGCATAGATATTTTACACATAATGAGCAAACTATACAAACAGACTCGACAATAATAAAGCTTTGATTTTTCTTTTCATTTTTTTTTATATTTTGGCGACAAAATTATAATTTTGTTTGATGTATGCATACTTTCTGTAGCATCGTTAGTTACAACTTCCTTATACGATCTCATTCTTTTTGTTCAAGATAAGATAAGGTTTTTCGAGTTTAATGAGCGATTATCATTCTTACAGCATATCTAATAAAGAATACTTGAAGAAAACGACGAATTAAGTAGATGTGCAATTTGACTAATGTCTTGAGTGACAAATTACATACCCAGCTCTGCCTTTGATGAAAGCCCCACAGATTCAGTGAAAGTCTAAGAATAAAAGTAAAATAATGGACTTTCTTTTTGAATCTCTTGTAATGCACTTTAAACATCTAACCTTAAAAGTTTTGCAGGTAATTTTAAAGAGACTGCACTTCTTCGTCTTTTTTTCTCTTGAAAACACGAACAAATTGGCTAAAAGTGATCAAAATAGCTGCGAGGATTTTCAATAGCGCTCATTTTCCAAGAAAATTGTTCTAAGGTAAGGGGAAGTGGATCGAAAGTGAGGAAGTGTACCAGTCGATTCTAAAAACTTGGCAGAAATGGCAAAGCAGTTGCTTCATTTCTTGTTCAAGGCAACATTTCACAGTAAAGATGTGGTCAAGATTCCTACTGTTTGATCAAGGCAACCTTTCACAGTAAAGACGTGGTCGAGATTCCTACTGTCTGATTTTGGTACATTTACTGCATGATACGTAATAATAATC